TTTTAATTTTATTTATTTATTTGTGTGTGTGTGTGTGTGTGTGTGTGTGGCCAGCTCAGCCCACCAGGGGGCGGGGCTGGCTGGCATGTGGTACTGGGGGATTGAACCGTGGTCCCTCTGCTTTGCTAAGCTTGTTCTAAGTAGGTGCTTTAGACCACTGAGCCATCTCACCAGCCCCCTACGTCCAGTCTTAATCAATGTCTCAGTGCACTGGGGGCAAAGCGGGCACCACATGTGGTGCCTGGGATCTAAGCCCGGTCCTTATGCCCTGCCTAAACAGGTGCTTTAGTCCATTGAGCTATTTTGCCAGCCCTTAGAATCTCTCATTTTCATTGTGACTTTGTCAAATGTAACCATTTGACTAAGAAATGTTTATTTATTAGTGACACTGTATAAATACTTGCTCATGAAACCCTAAAATATTTTCATTTATTAAGAAACATAAGGGACCTCACTGCCGCCACCACCACTCCTTTAAGTAGTAGGAATATTAATCTCTAAGTTGTGGACTCTTCCTCATCAGGACAAAGGGAGTTACCCACTGTCTGTGACATACTGGCTCTCCCTGATTCATACAGCACAGTGTCTCTCCGCGTGGGCGAATTTCTTAGGAGGCTCGCCTGAAGAACTTGTTACAGAAGTGCACTTGCAGGTGCCACTCCAATTCAGAATCTTTGTACCTGCATCTCCAAGAATTTTTATTTTTAATTAGCATTGCAGCCAATTCTTATGCACCCTGAAGTCTGTGAATCACAAGCTAAATTCTTCTAAATGTAAAGAGAAGCAGAGAGCCCAAATGAATTGCCTAAGTGCACCCTAAATAAACCAAGAGGGCTGAGAGGTCCTGTGTCCTTGCTTCTTGGTAACATCCTTGGCAGAATTTTATTTATAAAATGTTCCAAGTTGAAATCATTGTATAGTGCTCACCTATATATGCTTTACTAATTATTGTGCAGGAGTTGCCCATATATTCTCTAATAACTAACATGTTACTACACCTGCTTTCTCATACGTCTGTCCCTTTATCAATCTCTATTCATTGGCCCATCTTATTCTTGTGCTAAAGTTTCAAAGGAAATTTCAGATATCTGGAGTATCCAATTTTGGATGACAGTGACTCTAAGGCTAACAGGGCAATGAATCCTTATAGCACTGGTAAAAATACAGTGGCCTCTTATATTGGATAGAATTGGTGGTGAAGGCTGCGGGTGTATCTCAGTGACAGCACATATATTTAATGTGTTACAGGGCCCTGACTTTAGTTCCCAGCATGGGGGAGATGGTAATTGTTTGGTCTTGGTCTTAGGAGGATATTTAGATTGCACTTAATCTAAGATAGAAGGATAGTCTTAGCTGGTTGTAGACAGCCTCTGCAGAGTAGTATCCACTTGTCTATTCATCTGGATGCGCACTTCTGTTTTATTGCTGGAAGAAGGAGGGAGGTGTGGGGCTGTGGAGAAGAGATATAAATGTAGAAGCTGATGGGAGTAGTAATTCTCTCTAGTCCATAATGTGGAGGACCACCTGGATAGCTCTCCTAGAAAGAAGAACATTTGGTCCTGGCTCCTTGAATTGTTGATATGTACAGAGTTAGCTAGGACATATCCTTAACCCCTCTATTGGCTTTAAGCAATGCAAATGGGTGTAGCCAAGGTGCTGATGTGCAGCCTTAGAGGTAATGGACAGGTCAGTGATGCCCCACTTATAGCTCTGGAGTAGTATGTGTGAGCTAAGCCAAGTGACAATGCTATCAGCCAAGAATGAGCCTTGAGAAAAGAGGCTATGACTTCTCAGGGCATGGATTACACATCACAACTAAAGCAAAGCATCCACCCCAAAATACTAGATACTACCCCAGTCAGTAATATGCAGATCTGTCTCTCTCTCTTTCTCTCTCTCCCCTCCTCCTCCCTCCCCTCTCTCTCTCTCTCTTCTCTCTGTCTCTGTCTCTCTTCTCTCTGTCTCTCTCTCTGTCTCTCTCTCTCTGTCTCTCTCTCTCTCTCTCTGTCTCTCTCTCTCTCTCTCTCTCTCTCTCCATATTGCAGGGGTGACTTCAGGCCTCCTGTTTAGCCCATCTCACAGCACTCATGTACTTCCCACCACTCTCACAGTCACTCATCCCTGTGCCACTCTCTTCTTCACTAATTAATAAAACCCAGGTTCAGGTTTTGATTGAGGACTTTGTTCCATCATTCTAGCTGGATTTAGGACTCCTTGGCTCCTGGCAACTGCAAATAAGCCTTAGTGTCTTTATTCTTGCCATGCACTGCAGTAGAAGTAGTAGATTGAATTAGTTTATTAGAATTCCCATAACTTTTCTATTGGGATTACAAACATAAGCTTCACTGAATTACGATGAGCTCTGGGAAGGGCTTTATTGAGTGGGAAGGTGAGGTAGAGGCTGAGGTTTGCTGTGGTTAGTAGTTAGCAGCCAAATTCTTAGGTCACCTAGGGCTGCATTCCAGCTACCCCTGACTGCTTGACTTGTATGTGATACTCAAAGTATGGGCCTCTGTTGTGAGAATATATGTGTGCCTGATACAAAACCCAACTTCAGTTGCTAAGATATAAGTATATTTCCTGATACATTTCCTTAAGTTCACATAAAATCAACATATGAGACTGCAGCAGTTAGTAGGCAAGACATAAAACAACTGATTCTGACCAGAGAGCCTAAAAAAATACAGAGATGCAGAAGTGCGTGCTCTTGAAAGTTCTTCTAGAAACACCATTGTCCTTAAAATGAAATTCAAATTTCTGATCTTCAGGTGTCTGCATCATCTGCCCTCTGCTTACACCACCTCTAGCTTCCTTTCCTCTCCTTCATCATAACTTGGTCCACATAACATTTTTTTTTTTTTGCGAAACCAGGGATTGAACTCAGACCCTTGCGCTTGCCAGGGAAGCGTTTATTCCACTGAGCCATCTCCCTGGCCCCCATTTTTTTTTATTTTTTAAAGAGATGACCAATAGAAAAAAAAGATGACCATCAACTTTCAGTGCCTATTCAGCACTCAGCTCTCCATCATCTCACATTACAGATGCTCCTTAACTTACAATAGGGTTGTATCCTGATAAACTCATCATGAATTAAATATATCAAAAGTTGCAGGTTGTTGTAGTTTAGAGTTTACAAGGGGAACAACTCAATAACTTATGGAATAAGTCAACACATAACTTATGGAATTATTTTATAACAGTCATCCAAACAGTCAAATACAAAGAGAGTGCGGGAACTCTGTCCACACACTAAACTCCAAAAGAATCCAGTAGAGGGTTTGGATCCTACAGTAATATCCTTCATGAGTCCAAGATATTACTTAGAGCCCAGAACAATGCCCCCTATAAGTCCAGCTGGAGTCCAAGGGCCCATGACAATGTCCCATGCAGGTTTGTTTCATGGATCTGAGCTGGCCCAATGGTTAGAGGTAGAAGCTAGAAAGTCTGGAAGCCAGCAGGATGAACGATCTGTGTTAGCAGGCTGAGGAATCTGTGCTGGAAGTAGGAAGCCACACTCAAAATAAGAACCAGAGTGCTCCCGAAAAGTACCACAGCCATCCTCAGCAACAGCAATGTTCTGAGCTCCTCCAGTCATGAGAATAGTCGAGTGTGTATCAGCATGACCAGCTTCTTCTCCAGGACACTGAACAGCATATCATCTTCCCCTCCAGAGCCAGGAAATGATGCTCGAAGGACCAGAGCTCCCGCAAAGTGAACCGTAGCCATTCCCAGTGACAGGGGCCTGAGCTCCTTTGATGATAAGAAGAGCTGAGTTCATTAGAAAGCCAGCATGACAAGCTCCTCCAAGAGAACCAACAGCCCAGGAGAACCAGCAGCTGCCTAACAGCTCGCTTCTTCCTCTCTAGTTCTTGTTTTCATGATGTTGGCAACAGTCTTTAGGTTGGTCTCCCACACCTGGCACCACCAGTGGTTCTGTTCAGCTTCGTGTTACAAGTGACAGCCAGTTGTCAGTGTACTACACAGGTGCACTTAATATGACATTCCTAACCTACCAAATATTCCTAGTGTCATCTGCTTTAAACATGGTCAGAACACTTACGTAAGCCAACATTTGGGAAAACTCATTTAACGCAAAATGAATTTTTAGAATTAAATATCACAGAATGTATTAAAAAAAAGATCAAAATGCAAATATGAGGTAGCTTCTACTTAATTCACATCCATTTTACATCATCGTGAAGTTTTTAAAAATCCTAAATTGAACCATCCTAAATTGGGGCCGTCAGTATTTTCCTATCATTGTATCACTGCCTCCAATCCTTAGGAATTTGTTTACTGTTTCACTGACTGCCCTACTGGAAGGCAGCACCAGCAGAGCAGGCATCGTGCGCATTTGTTTGGTACGTGGTTGTAATCCTAGCAACTAGAACTGGGCTCACTGTACACTGTGGGCATTCTAGTAATACTGATGCAAGAAGACTGAATGAGTCTGAAAGATGTCAGAGGGAAGGGTAAAAGGCCATGGCTAGGGGATGAGGATGTAGCTAAATGGTAGAGAGCATGCTTGTGCAAGGCTCTGGATTCAACTCCCAGCACCTTGAGGGGGAAAAAAAAGTCCGGGAAAAGTACAGCACCCAACTTTCCAGCTAAAGCTGACCTGACTTTCAGAAGTGCAAGGCTCTGGAGCGAAGGGGCGTGGCCGGGGCGTGGCGTGGAGAGGGCGTGGAGGGGAGAGGGCGGGGTCGGCCCCTGCGAGCAGGAAGCCCAGGAAGTGACACCAGCGGCTCAGCCCTGAGGTCTTCGGCTCCGGCGGCCGAGTCCGAGACTTCCTGTGGGGGCCGGTGGTTCCTGGAGCCTGGGCGATGGAGAACGGAGCGGTGTACAGCCCCACCACGGAGGAGGACCCCCGCTCCTCTAGGGGCGCCCGGAGCGGCCTCGCCGCCCACTTTTCCCTGGGGCGACTCCCGCCGCCGCGGCGCTTCCTCAAGGGCTTGCAGCTGGTGAGTTCTCGCGGCGCGGGGCGAGCTCGGGCGGGACGCGGGGGCCGGCGGGGGCCTCGGCCAGCCGGCCTTGGCGGCTGCTGGGTGGCTGTTCCCTCTGGATGTTCAGGAAGCACCCGTTTCGTCACCTCTGACCCTTCCCGTGCCGTTGGGGAAGGGGGCGTTGTCCCCCCGGCCTCCCGGCTCCCCCACGTCGCCCCGCTTCCCGCGGTCTCTTCGCGCCAAGGTCCCCGGAGCCGGCCGGGGCTGCTGAGCACGGGAGGTGCGTCGGGGGTGCCCGGTCGGCGCTCGCGACCTCCTTCCCCACCCGCTGCAGAGCCTTCCTCTCCTCCGGGAACCGGCTCCCTTATCTCCCGCCCGGGGAGCAGGGAAAGGGCGGCAGTGCTATCTTTTCTGGCTCTTGTGCTTTTCCTAGTGCTAAACCCTGAGGGGCAGTTTAACTTGGACAGTTTCAAACGTGTTAGAGGTAGAAAGTCAAAAGGACATGATTTTGTGTGTACGTGGAGGTCTCAGAGCCGGTATGGTATCTCTGTTCAGTTCATTTAGTTTATTTTCGGCAAAAAATATACTCATGAAAATATCAAAGCATTTTTGAACTTTAAATTGTAATTCACTTGGCATGTACATTCAGCCCGTGTCCTCTCCCTCTCCCTCTTTCTGTTCCATTTTTCCTTTTTGTTGTTTTTAACCACCCCAAGTAAAAACTAGTTCATTGGTTTTCTTGGGAAGAACTTAAATTCTTACAACTCAGATGACCAGAAGTGTAATTTCTAGAACGCAAGATGCCCTACTTTCGTTACATAGAAAAACAGTAGTCAAAAAACTAGTATGGCTTTTAGCCACCCAAATGATCATATCTAGGGAGGATTGGGTAATCACTTGGACAAAGGGATAATTTGGTTTGTGGAAGGCAAGCTATCTGGCCCTGTCTTTCAGTTTCCCACTAGTCACTTTTAGGCTATTAGCAGGCGTCCTGGGTCTCAGTCTGCCACTGTTCTTTGCGCAACCTGTTCCTTCAAGCCTGATGTATTCCTGTTCTGACTCTTACATAGTTTTTAAAACATCAGCTTTGCCTCCTTACAGTAAAGCGTAAATCTTTTTCATAACAAAACTCTTTAGAAAATAATTGCTGTTCAACTGAAAATTATCTCAGGTTTTTTCCCCCCATTCAGGATTTTTTTTTTTCAAATCTCTGAGATTGCTTGGGGTTTGCGATTGTAAATCGTAACACCGAGGAGGTGCAGGGTGGAGATAGGGATAAAAGAGCAAAACTTTTCTATTAGAGTTATGAAGTTATAAGGCGGTGTTTGTCATTCACAGATGGCCTGAATTTTGTCAAAGGCTTGTCTAAACTGTCTCCTAACTGCTGCACACCCTTCAGAGCTTAAGAAGAAACAGTGCGGTTGAGAAATCAGTGTAAGCAGTTACTGGAATCCTAAATTTACGTAATCAGTCTTCCAGTTTATTCTGCCCATATGCTTGTCTCTTTGCTCTTATTTTGTGACCTTTTATTATTTTGAGAGAGTTATTTTTGCTTTAAGGAGCAAATTGACATCTGGCAACCTAATTACTTACTAATTAGCTGGTGCGATGACCTAAATAAAATGTGTAATTTGCTGTCCGTAACAGGTTCCACGTTGTGTCTGTGGTACTTGTTTCATGTTCTGAGGGCTGCACAGTACTGAGATTGCAGTAATTATTCAGGCAGTTTGTTGTAGGATTCACCAGATTTGTCTTTATTTATTTTATTTTTTAATTTTGGTGGTGCTGGGGATTGAACTCAGGACCTTGTGCTTGCCAGTCAAGTGCTTATTCTGCTGAACTGTCTCCTCAGCCCCCAGATTTGTCTTTTAGAGTGTGGATACTGTGTAGGTACCAAGAAACAAATCATGCAGAAGAAATTCATTATATTGATGCCTTTTCATTGTTTAAATGAAAAAAACTGATGTCTACTAAATTGAAGCATTCTATATTACCTTGAGAAAGACCCACAATGTCAGCAATTATATCATTAAATACTGTTTTTTTAGTCGGTAACCTAAAATATTTATTAAAATTCTATCAATACTTAATAAGCTATACAGAAAAGACAATGAGACAAACATATGTATTTATAGAACCGCACATTAGTCAAGCCAGATCCTTGCAGAGAGAATTCCTGGCGAGCCCTCATTTATCTGGGAGAGCACAGGGCAGTCCCTGTTGAGATCACACATCCATGTCCATGTCCAGCACAGTCAGACCTCCACCTTCGGATGGCTTCCTTCCCCTGTGACTGTGCACATCTACTTGTCTGCTTCTTACACCAGACCTTTACCTTCCTCATTCACCAGCCATTGGCGGAAGACTGGGACCATGAGGAGGATTGATTCTATCCATTGTTCTGGGAGGGTTTCTTGGTAGCTCTCTTCCATCATCTTATCTGGAATCAGATGAGTTTCTATAGCCTCTTCCTTTTTTCACATCTTGCTGAAGCAGAGTTTTAAAAACCAAAACCACAAACTCGGCTATTCCCCAGAAGAAATCTGTTATTAATGATAGTCTCCATGGGGACTGACTCTGTCCAACACTTGTCCATTTGAGATATAAACCATCTTCCCTCCATCCTGGCTTCGCAGCAACTATCATTAAATATTCTAAGGGCAAATTATGTAAGGCTATTGAGGCTTAGTCTATTTCTTCAGGATGATAATTTTCAAAATTTGAAACTATTAACTAATATTTTTAATAGTTGTAAGTCGTACATTCCTATGGTGTTACAGGTGATCCCTTGTAATTAATGAAAAACAATAATTTGTTTGTGAGATAGGATCCCACAATGTATTTCAGGTTGATCTCAAACTCTCAGCAGTCCTCCTGCCTCAGCCTCATGATGTGTACCCTAGTAGACTTAGGCAAGAGGACTGCAAGTGAGAGCCCAGCCTGGGGGACATAAACCCTGCCATAATAAAAAAGAACAAAAGGCTGTGTGAAGTTTCTGGGTTCAGTCTTTATTCTTGAAGAAAAGGTAGGTAGGAGATTGTTAAAGGTAAATGATGAAGAATTAGTATTCAATATGATGGTTAGTTTTTGTTTGTTTTTGGGTAGCAGGAATCAAGCTTAGGATCATGCAGTTGGCAGGCATGTGCTGTGCCCTGAAGCTATATTCCCAGCCCTTATATGGTATTGTTTTATTTTATTTTGGTTTGGTTTTGGGTGATTGTTAATTTTTAAAAATTTTTTGGTACAGAAAATTGAACTCAGGACCTTGCACTTGCCAGGCAGGCACTTGTGCTGCTGAGCTATATCCCTGGCAACTGTTAGTTTCAAGGAAGGTTTGAAAATTTTGGAGAAGTTAAACTGACATGGAGGTACAGGATAATCTTCTAATATCTAAGTGTTGAACCAGAGCCATGGTTAAGACCATGTTTGAGTCACTGAAATTTTCCAAATGAGTTCATTGTAACAACCATTTTTAATATATGACTTAATAGCAAAAAAGGAAATATAAAGAGGAAGTTGTAAGTTTACAGGCCTGGTCTTATGAGGAAAACCTACACAGTTGTACACAATCATAAAGTGAAATTAATCTACCATTTCATGGCCACTGGGGGACAAGTAGAGAGTGGAAGGCAGGGTTTTTGCTGTGCTTGCTGGCCTTGGGCTTTAGCCTATCTGAAGCTTACTACCACCTTTTAACTTGTGGTTGGGAAGCTTTATGTTCTCCCAAAGCCCTACAAATTCTATAAAAGCTTGAAAATACTTTTTTTTTTTTTTTTTTTTGATACTGGGGATTGACCTAGGACATTGCACTTGCCAGACAGGTGCTTATGCTGCTGAGCTCTCTCGCTGATTGGTAATTCTCTTCATTATATTTCATAAAACTTTGTCTTTAGAAGAAGCATTGGATATACAGTTGTTAGGTACTTAGCTTAATATTCATTGTGCAGTATTCAGTATGATTTCATAATATTGAAAGAAAAACTGCTGAAGTGTAGTCTCTCTTTTCTTCTGTCCAATTCTAAAGAAGAATGGGCCTTCCAAAACAATAATTGACCCCTTTTACTTGTGGGTTACATTTGTCATTAACTTCATACATTCATCAGTGATTTTTTTTTCTTCCTATTGTTGGCCTCTTTAGTCTTTAATACTAATGACTGAGAGGGGTTTTTCAGCAGTGCAGTAAAGAGACAGGAAAGATAAAAGAAGCCGTTATTAACTCTAAAGACATGGAGAGGATCAAGGGCAGATGGGAAAGTCCTCCAACCTGAGACAAAGCTGAGGTTTGTGTGGACTTCTGCTACGGGTGGAGTTAGAGGGGCAGTTTCAATTACATGTAAGGAGCTGCTTGGGGTGTGTGTGTGTGTGTGTGTGAGAGAGAGAGAGAGAGAGAACACATTGTATCTAGAGCTGGACTGGGGAAGAGGAGGAAGTGGTCACTGGGAAGATAAACTGTTGTTTTAAGGGCTTCAGCCATATTAGGTGACCACCATAATAATTTAGCAGTTTATACTGGGGCCAGAACTTAGCAGTGACTCCCCATTTCTTGAAATTCTTTCTTCCCTTAACCATCACACTTTTATTTTTTCTTTTCTAATAGTATAAAAAGTGTCTGCTTAGGAAAAAAAAATCAACTAAAATTATAAGCAAAATAAAGTAAGCCCACCCTCCAACCCCATTGTCCACACATTCCCAGTTATCACTGACTCCTGGGGTATGTTCATGTTCCCTTTAGGGTTTCCTAAATTTTGTTTTGCAGTGCTGGGGACTTAAGCTGGGGTTATTGCACTGAACTACATCCCCAGTCCTTTTTAATTTTTATTTTGATGTGAGGTCTCACTGAGTTGCCCAGGTAGGTTTTGTACTAGTCCTGTCTCTGGCCTTAGTCTCCCAACTGCTAAAATCACAGGCATGCTCCACCACACCTGGCTTAAAAAACAAAACAAAAACTTTGTGACTTGCTTTTCCTGTGCTGGTTGCTTGTTTCCCTCCTACTCTTAGAATTCTTTCAGGCCCCACCC